CCTTATTGTACAGATGAGAAAATCTAGGTCCAGAGAGGCTTATCTCTGGGAAAACAGCTAATAAGTGGCAGAGCTGAAGCTAGAACCCAGTTTTCCTACCTGCCTTTTTATTCTTTCCTGCCTATAGCTCTAAGATGTATGTTTTGTTTGAAGAGAAGTAGTGAGTGAGAGGAGTGATGTGAATCTGCTAAATAAAGTGGATTCTGATGTTAAATCTGTTATTTTCCCATCATTCGTCTCCATATCGTCTTCATCCTTCCAGACTCAGCTCAAGTTGCCGACCCTCTTCTCCATGAAACCTTAGTAGTGACATAGTTGAGAATTCTGGACTTGGAATCAAGAAGACCTAAGTTCAGATCCAGCCTCTGACATTAGCTGCTTAGTCCCGGGCAACTCACTAACCTCTTTAAGCTTCAATTTCCTCATTTATAAAATGGAGATTATAATACCTACCTCATAACGTCATTGTGAAGATCAAATAAGATAATATAGTTAAAATGCTATGAAAACATTGAAGTGTCATATAATTGTTAGCTGTTATTATCCCTCCAACCCAAGCAAATCTCACTACTCTCTGAATTCCTGCAGCATTTAATGTGTCACACAATCTTGTACATACATAGCTCCCTTTTCACAACTACTCCTCATTCACACTGGCAGGCCAGGTTCCCAGCAGGTAGCTATTACTGCACTCAGGGTTGTAGCAGTAACTCTTTGAAGATAGTTTTCTAATACCCTTGCTCACAAGCGCCTACCTGTGTGTTATCCATTAACGATTAGCCAACCAGACCTAAGCTTTTACAAAAGGCATTTACTAGGAGAGTGCTGTAAGAACAGTTGGTACAAGAGACACAATGTGCCTTCCTCCAAATTGGGGGTGCATTCCCCCACAAAAATACACAAGGACCATGGGGAAAGAGGGTACACATGTAAAATACAGAGGTCATGAGGTGCATGTGTAAAGAACTTAGGTGGCAAAGGAATAGTTCACGCCTATGATTACTGAAAGTCCGTTTTTGATCTAAGACATCTCCAAAGACCTCATGATAGAAAATGCTGTCCACATCCAAAGAAAGAACTATGGAGTTTGAGTGCAGATTGAAGCATACTGTTTGCTCTTTTTTTTCCTTCTGTTTTGTTTTATTTCCTCTTTCTGGTGGTTCCTCCTATTGGCTCTAATTCTTCCTTACAACATGACTAATGTGTATATGTATAGCCTGTATCAGATTATGTGCCATCTTAGGGAAGGTGATGGGGAGAAAGGAGCAGAAAAATTTTAAACTCAAAAGCATATGGAAGTGATTGTTGATAAATCAAAATAAATTAATTAAAAATTAGAAAAAAGAAAGTCCCTTTTCCTTTTGTAGGGTCCTCATGAAGTTCTCCTGAAGTATAATCTCTCTGCTGAGCTCTGAGCATCAGTGGTTTTGTGGAATCCATAACTGGGGCTTCTCTCTGCCCAGAGGGAGCATGTCCTCTTAAGTTACCTTTCCTTACCCCCAACTAGTATAGTCTCTATGATTCTAGATAAATACATCATTTGCTACTTGTCCAATTTCTCTGATGGCATGGTCAATGTGTGTATGTGTGTGTATGTGTGTATGTGTATGTGTGTCCAGAAAGACAGAGACAAAGAGCAGAAAGAAAGAGAAACTCTTTCTTCCCTTCCCTTTCTTCTCTCCCATCTCCACCCCCAATCCTCCCAGGGCAATTCTCTTTTAGAGTCTAGGCTCTAATTCTGGAACTGGAATCCTCTGAACTGAAATTCTCTCATTAGTATACAGATTGACCAATTGACTAGTTCACAGTTGAACTGACTGCTATTTTTATACATAGGCCCAGAAGTGTGTCCAGATTCTTTTAGCCAATCACAAGATATTTCTTGTGTGGCATCATCTGCATCCCTCCAATGATCAAACTACTATAATCCTTTCAAATTGATTACAGACTTGTAGGAAAATTCCTTAACCCCTAGTTTAAAGAATTGATTGATTTATTCCAATTGAAGTGTCTGGGTCTTCTGTGATTACATTAATTGGGGATGGAGGTGGAATAGTGGTTAAGAGCATTGGACTTAGAGTCAGGCAACCTGGGTTTGAATCCTAATTCATGAGTGTTTATAAGGTGTACCAGATGTGTCTAGGCATACCCTAAAATGTTATCCCCTCTCTTCCCACAGTGAGGCTGCCTGGAATTTGGAACTTGCTAAAGTTAAGAGTGGTTTTTCCCAATTACTGAGAATCCTCAGTTGTATCTGCTGCTGCTTCATTTTTCTATTTTTCATTTACTTCTTCTTTCCTATTTTCATGCATCTCTGATTAGAGACTAATTCAGTGACTTGGTTGCCCAGAAGTCCAGAGCCCCCTTTCTGACTCTCTCCCAAACTCTGTCCCTTGCACTACCTTTCCTGCTCTAATGTACTTCTGTTTAGTGGAGCCCACTTCCTGTGGGGTCCCAATGTGCTGCTTCCCCTCCTCTCTGTGCCCAGGAGGCCCTGCTCCTGTCTGGAGACTTCAGCTGGTTGCATTCTGGGTTAGGGAAAAATCAGCTAGACATTTTTTCTGCTTCTACTCCTGTGCCTATTTTGTTTTACATCAAACAGCCTCTAGTCTGCAGTCCTGGAGCTCTGATTCGAATTGACAACCAAGACAAAAAATTCAAACTCTTCCACAAACCCTTGATGGCAAAGTTCAGGACTAGAGGAGTGGGGTTCCCTTGGAAAGATGGTTTTTGTTTGTTTGTTTAGCCAAGAAAACAAAGCTGAAAAAGTTGCTCTGTATTTTAAGGTAAAGGGAAGGGTTTGATTAAGAGGAGCCCTTTGCAAATTTTATATTTTCTTAAAGTTTAAAGTTTAGTTGTTATGTTTAAAAATCAAATTAATTTTGTTTTAGTTTTTTTAAGTTTGAAGAATAAAAATAATGTCCTTCATATTTGAGTATTTAATTAATGTTTTCCTTAAAAAAATAAAATTCTCTGGATATTCTCTAATGAATTGTGCTGTGTAGACCTGTGGTACAGGTATGTGTATATATGTATATACATGCATATACATGTATATATGTACATGTGTATATACATATACATGTACACACACACACACACACACACACACACATATATATATATATATACATATATATACCTGGGGCAAATCATTTCCATCCCTCTGGATCTAAATTTCTTTTCTTATAAAGTCAGGAGCACATCTAAGAGCCCTTATAGCTCTAAAAGCTCTGATTTTATGTGTGTGTATTTTATCTCTTCAACCAGACTATAATGAATGTCCTTATGCTTCTTATGCTCTTTAGGGATTCCCAGAGGGTTGAACACCCAGTGGTTGCTCAGTAAAAAGATGGTGACCAATTGAATGGGGATGATTGCCATGTATCTTATGTCAGCAGGCAAAGCTAGCTTCGTTGAGTTTCAAGGTTCACTAGGGATGAAATTTCTCACCCTTTGGAAATTTCGGGGGAAAAGCGCCTTTCTCTTTGTCTCACTTCCTCTCAGCCTCCCCAACCCTGCCCATCATCCCTCGACCTTTCACATTCCCTCACTGCCCAGCCTTCTAACTCGGTCCTTCCCCTGGTGAGCGGCTTCTCTCAAGACCCCATCTCCTCCCAGCCTCCTGCTGAGCCCTCCCTTCCCTCCTCCCTCCCCCTTCTGATCTCAATCCTGCTGGCCTCCCACTGTCCCTGACCTCCACCCCTGCTGCTCTGAACTTCCACCTCCTCTCCTGCTAGGTTGGCTCCTCTGTGGGGAGGCATTCTGCTCCTCAGATCTCTCCTCCAGGGGTTCTGACCCTCCCCCACACTTGTGCTACTCACAAAGTTTCCCCCCTCCTGCCTCCCTCTCCCATTTCACTGAGTCCCTGCCCCCTCCCTCCACCCTCCTGTGGAGTCTAGCTTCCTTCTCCTCCCCAGCCCCCCGGAGGCCCTGGAATTCCTGGTGGAGCAAACTACCCCTGCTTTGCTGACTCTGTGTGTGTGTGTGTGTGTGTGTGTCTGTGTATGTGTCTGGGTGTGTACACATCGAATTGTTGTGTGGCTGACTACAAATGTGCAAGGCTGCTATATAGAAATAGATGAATGAATATGTTGTGTTGTTAGGGACCTCTGCACATAGAGAAAGCTTGGTAAACTTTGAAACTGGACAGAAGTGGGAGATCTTATTAATATACACATACACATTCAGGTGTGCTTTTCATCTAATAAAACTGTGTACATTTATGCATAGTGTGTTTATAGGTACATATATATTTGTATATATACAAATATAAAATATACATTATGTATGTTTTTATACATATATATCCACACACAGATATGGCCCCAACTCTGGGGATAGTTTTGAAAAATCTATGGCTGTCAGTTTAAATATAAAAAGGCTTTGCTTAATGCCAGAAACATTTCCCCTGTGTTCAGGAGCATAGACTGCCTCTCCTGCTTTTCACCTGCAAAGTCCTTCTTCAATATAAGCTCTGCAGGCTCTAGGGACTGAGAAGAGACAGCTTCCCTCTTCAGCTCTGGGGTGGGGAGCTATGGAAGGAAGGGGGAGCGTAAGCCTGAGCTCCTCCCTTCATCATCCCCCGAAGATTCTATCAGAGTTCCTACCCTTCTGCTTTCTCATTCCTCACATCTTGGCTACCTCCCTCTTGGGGCTGTTAAATTCTAATTTGAATTAAAAAAAAAAAACAACAAACCCAAAAACCCTCTATCTGAGAGTGAAAAAAAGCTGCCACTGTTATTTCTGAATGTAAAATTAAAATTGGAAGGTAACCACAATCTTTAGGGGTTGTTTGTGATACCATCCCATTTTAAAGATGAGGAAACCAGGGCTCAGTCAAGTTTATTGATTTACGTATGGTCACATAGTTTATAAGTAGCAGAGCCATCATTTGATCCAAATCCAACATTCTCACTATGATATGCTGACTCTTCATCAAGCAATCCACCTATAAATGTTTACAAGATACCTACTTAAGTATGTGTCTAATGCTGTTCTAGGTTACGAGAAAGGCCAGAGGAGAAGATCAAGTTCCAGCTTTGGAGAAGCTTAGTCTAATTGGCAGGGGTCAAGCGTCAGAGGTATGAAACAACTGGAGAACAATAAAAGACAGATACAATTAAGTAGACTATTGCATAGTGTGAACCATATCAATGCATTGTTGTTGTTTGTTCTTCCTTCTAGAAGAGGACCATGGCATCAGGAAGATGATGCCATGACTTGCAAGTGAATTAGGTTTAAGCACAGAAGGCTATGCAAAGTCACCAGCCTTACTTTCTCCTCTGGAGTCAACTGGGTCCAGTGGCAAGATACAGATCAGGATGACTGGAAAATGGCCCCTATCAATGCATTAAGTGGACAGAAAAGGAAGAGGTATTAGTGAATTGGAGTGGTCTATAAAGATAAAACTTGAACTGGGCTTTGAAGGAAGGCTAAGATTTGGATAGCTAATAGTTAAAGGAGCGAGAATGAGGTGGGGGGAAAAAAGAGGATAAATGGCCAAAGATGGGATATCAGGACAGTGAAGACCAGCCAGACTTCAATGGAGGATTTGGTTTGGAATATAAGGGGTGGAATATCACCAAAGCTCCTGATTTCATGCTGTGCTACAATGGGCGTGGGTAAAAGATTTGGAAAAGTGGAATGAACCAAGCATTGAGGAGTTGGAAAATCCACGTGTGAAAATGGCAGAGAGGGTCCAATTTGTGTTCCTCGGTGCAAGACATTCCATCTCAGATACCTTTACAAAGACAATTACCTGGTATGGAATGTACTCTTACCTCATTGTGCTCACTTCCTAAAATCTTGATCTCTAGTCTTCCCATTTCACATTCGTTCATGCACTACCACTACTGTGCTACTTCCCAGTGATCATAGTCTCTACTTGATAGATGAGAAAGATGATTGACCAAGCTTTCTCTCATATGTAGTGAGAGAGCAGAGATTAGAGTCGAGATCTCCTGATTCCTAGTTCTATCTTTTTGCCACTATATCATCCTGCCAAATTCTCTAGTGGTTTATATGAAAATGGGAGAGTTTCATCTATAGTAGTGTGAAATTGAAAAACTCTTTAAACAGAAGGGAGATAACTGAGAGACTGAGTTAGGGGCTATTGATGAGGTTTCTAAATTAGAATCTCCACCTATGGAAACTACTCCATGCAGTTTCTTATTGATGGGGCTGAAACTTCCCAGATCCCTTGGATTAGCTCCAGGGGTCCTTAGGAAACCAAGCAGATGTTTCTTTGGAAATTCGACTGAGTAGCCAAGAATCTCAGGTCCCCAGCATCTATCCACAGGTCACTCTTCTATGCGGAGACTAGTATCTCTCAGTCCCGTGTCCATAGAGCCTTTTGAGAAACTGAGTCATAATTTTTGCAGTTAGGGAGCATCTGACCTCCAAGATGACATGTCTATAGCGTAAATGTTTACTCTTTTCTAACTATTGAAATTACATATGCTATGGAATCTGATAGGAAAAATTTTGGGTTAAACACCAAGAAAGACTATCTCTCTTCCAATCTTGGTGCCTTCAAGGGCACCCAAGAAGGAAGAGGCTTGGAACTTGCACATCTAAAAGAATATTTGCACCTCAGCAGGATCATGTGGGTAAAATGATCACTAATCACACCTATTGTCTTTCCTTGTACAGAGATTCAGTGAAGTGAATTGTGTAGAAAACAGTCACTTGAAGCACTTACCAAGATGGGTTTTGGTTCTGCTTTGCAAAGTTACTTCATACTAGTCTAGCAGAACATTCTTGAAACCTTCAGGATAAAGACACATACATACACGCACGTGTGCACGCATGTGTACACACCCCCACACACACACATACACACACACAGAGTGATAATCAAATCTCCATTCTGCAGGAAATTACCCTGTCCTGGCCACATTGAGGCCTGCTGAGGACTTAGAGATTAAAAATGGAGACATAAGTAAAATAAGAGTTCTGGAGGAAAGCAGTAGGAGAATAAATAGCTTAGAATAGAAAATGAAAAACCCCATCCAAACTGTAGTCTCCCTGAAAATAAGAATGGACCAAACTGAATCCAATAATTATAAGAAATGATAAATATTAAAACAAAATAGAAAGATGGAGAAAACAAAAGAAAATGTAAGGTCTTTGCTATTAAAAAAAATATGTAAAACATTTCAAGGAGAGACAATTTAAGAAGATCTGGACTCCCTGAAAAACATAACAACAACAACAACAACAAAAAGCCTGGGTACTTTATTTCAATAAATTGAAAATGAATGCTACCTGCCCAGATTTATTAGAACTAGAGGGCAAAGTGAAAAGAGAAAGTATCGGGGCAGCCAGGTGGCACAGTGGATAGAACACTGGCTCTGGAGTCAGGAGGATCTGAGTTCAAATCTGGTCTCAGACCAAACACTTTACACTTATTAGCTGTGTGACCCTGGGCAAGTCACTTAACCCCAATTGCCTTGAGAAAGAGAGAGAGAGAGAGAGAGAAAGAATCCACTGATCACCTCCTGAAAGAAATCCTAAAATGAAGATTCACAGGAATGTCATGGCCAAAATCCAGAGCTTCCAGGTCAAAGAAAAAATACCACAAGTAGCCAGAAAGAAAGAGTTCAGGTACTAAGGATCACATTCAGGATCACACAGAACTTGGCAGCTACAAGTATAAAAGGATGACACTCTTGAAATATAATATTCCAAAGGTAAAAAAAAGATAGAGGCTTACAGCCACTTACTTTTTTTTTCTTTTTTTGGTGAGGCACTTGGGGTTAAATGACTTGCTCAGAGTCACACAGCTGGTGAGTGTTACATGTCTGAGGCTGGATTTGAACTCAGGTCCTCCTTACTCCAGGGCTAGTGCTCTATCCTCTGAGTCACCAAGCTGCCCCAAAATCTTTTTTTTTTTTTGCTAGGTAATGGAGTTAAGTGACTTGCCCAGAGTCACACAGCTAGTGAGTGTTATGTGTCTGAGACTGGATTTGAACTCAGGTTCTCCTGACTCCAGGATCAGTGTTCTATCCACTGCACCACTTAGTTGCCCCAGCCATTTACTTTATAAAACTGAATATAATCCTACAGGCCTCCTCCCCAAAAAATGTATCTTTAATGGAATAGAGCTTTTTCAAGCATTCCAAATGAAGACCAGAACTGAGTAGATACTTTGAAATATAAATGTAGCAATCAAGAGAATCCTAGAAAGATAAGCACTCTTGAACAATTGGAAGGTGCTAAACAATGAAGAAATGCATATTAATGAGTGAGAAAAGATGAGTTCCTTTAGAATCCTAATGACTTCAAGGATCACATAAGGAATTAAATAAAACAAACAGAAGGACTGGGGTTGATTTTGTTGTGTTTTAATGATATTAAAAGACAAAAGGAAAAAGAAGGGAAAATCAATACAGAAAGGAAGAAATGAGGAAGACATGGTTAAAACTTATAATTTATCATAATTGGAAAAGAAAACTATACAAAAGTGGAGGAAGGGATAGAAGAAGTGGAAATCATATGAGCCATATTCTCATCTGAATTGGAAAAGGAGGTTTGAGCACAAACATTAATACATGAATACAAAGAGTAGTAAAATGATACAATAAACTCAACAGAGAAGCAGGAAGGGAACAAGAAAAGAGAGAAAAAAAGTTTAAGAGGGAGAACAAAGTAGGTGAGGGAATAATTACAAGCATAACTTCAACTTTGGACAGTGGGTCATAAAGAGAAGATTAAAAAGGAATAAGTACAAGGAAAGGTATAAAAACCAGTGACCTATGCCTAAGGAAGGAGAAGAAAGGAGGGGCAGTGGAGTGGAAGTAGATTGCTTTAATTACAAATCATAGGTTTTGATCACATTCCTTGAAAGGGAAGGAATGTGATCAAAATCTACAATTTGTAATTAAAGCAGTCTGAGCAGGGAAGGAAGTAAAAAGAAGAAAAAGTATTCGGATATAATGGAAAGAAACACACAATTTGTAATCATAATTGTAAATGTGAATAGGATGGACTCACCTATAAAACATAAGATGACAGAGAATGGATTAGAAAACAGAATCCAACAATTTACAAGAAACAAACTTGAAACATAAAAGATTCACACAGAGTTAAAATGAGGGACTGGAATGGAATTTATTATGCTTCAGGCAAACTAAAAAAAAACAATCATGATCTCAGAGGGAGCAAGATGATTAAAATAAATGTGATTAAAAGTGAGAAATAGGGAAATTACATTGTGCTTAAAGTCATCATAGACAAATAATATCAGCACCAAATGACATTGACATTTAAGTACTTAGAGAAAAACTTGATCGAATTTTAAGAAGAAATAGAAAACAAAATGATGATAATTGGGGATTTCAATATACCCCTTTTAGACACGGATAATCTAACAACAAAAAAAGGGAGAAGTTTAAGGACCTAAAAATAACTTTTCAAAAGTTTGGTACAGTAGCTTTCTGGAGATTGCTGAGTGGGAATAGAAGAAAATAAAATAATTCTTGCCTTATATGGCACCTTTATAAAAATTGACTATATTATAAGGAAAACAAACAAAAAACCAAAAAACCCCCAACTTTCATAGACTAATGCAGAAAAGCAGAAACATTAAACACATCCTTTACTGACCACAATGCAGTAAATATTATAATCAATAAAGGGCTTTTGAAAAAAGACTTGATATTTAAGTGGAGAATAAATAATTTAATCCTAGTGAACTGGTGAATCAGAGAATAATTCATGAAAATATTAGACAATTTCATCAAAGAAAATGACAACAATGAGATAACATACCAAAAATTTTGGGATGTAGCCAAAATAGTTCTTAAGAGAAAACTTATATCTCTAACCACTGTCATGGTTAGAGAAAGAGACAAAGAACAAATCAATGGATTTGGCATGCAACTAAAAAGTCTAGAAAATTAAAAAAAAGTAAATATGAAAATAAAAATTCTGAAAACCAAAAAAGAGACTAATGAAATTGAAGTGAATTGATAAGAATTTAAAAGTTGTTTTTTTAAACATTT